TTTACGCTTCAAAAGGTAAAGCCAAGTGTAACGACTAAATCCATCAATGAAAGTCACAAACCACGATGTCCAGAAACAAAATAAACCTCACAGGGGCCCCAAACATCAGAATGTATTACTTCAAATGATTTATGACTTCGCAAACCCCTGCTAGGATAGGTACCCCTTGTATGTTTTGCTAATTCACATGCGTCGCATACAAGGGATTCTCTAGAACACAAGTTAAAGAGAGAGGGATAAATACATGACATGGCAACAAAAGAGAGGTGTCCCAATCTTCGGTGATGAAGTAACAATTCTTGAGTAGGAGACATGCAGGTTGCAAGAGCAATTTAATCTCCCCCTTCATCAAGATAGTAGAGTCCCTCATGCATGGTCCCAGTCCCGAGAACTCTCCCTGTCCCAAGCTCCTGAAAAACACAACAGGTAGGATCAAACCAACATATACACTTGAGAGCACTAGTGATGGAGCTAACTGATAATAGGCTGATAGGAAATTTAGGAACATGCAGAACTGGGGATAAGGACAATGTCTTGGTACACTGGACAGTTCCACGTCCTGTAATAGGTGCCATGGAACCATCAGCAACACGAACTTTGTCCTTACCAGAGGTAGGTGTGTAGGAAGTAAACAAGTTTGAGGCACCTGTCATGTGGTTAGTAGCTCCAGTATCAATTATCCATGATTTTGACTGGGCTTGGTGGGATTCCATACCTTGGGTGATGGCATTAAAGCTAGAATCAACTTTGGAGGAACCTTGGGATGAAGATGAGCCTTCAGAGAATTTGAGCTTGGATTTGAAATCCTCAAGAGCTTGCATATCTACCACATGTAGTTCCCTTGCAGATGCATTGTAATTAGCTTGTCTTTTGTTTGAACCCCGAGCTCCCCCTAGCTGAGATCTCCCTTTATCCCACCAAGGTGGATAACCATGCAACTCAAAACACTCATCCTTGGTGTGTCCTTTTCTCTTGCAATGGTCACAAAGTAATTTGCTTTTATCCACCTTACCAAAGGAATTTGTAGCACAGCGAGGTTGTATGGATAATGCAGCACGAGCATCTGCACGCTCCTGACCATCCTCCTTCGGTTGTGCCAAACGAGTCTCCTCCTCAATCATGCTAGAAATAATATCATCAAGACTAGGCCACTCAGGCATTCCAAATATCAATTGACGACGGAGGTTTAGTTCCTGGTCTAGGCCATCAAGAAAGAGCTTGCTCACAAACGACTCAAACCACACATGATGAATTGCCAAGTCATCCTTGTCAACAGGTTCAAAAGGGTGATGATAATGTAAGTTTCTATATAATTTTTTTACTTCACCTGGATACTGTGTTACAGATCTTGAGCGCTGCTTCAAATTAGTTAACTCATGCATGATACGGGTGGCTTGCATTTTATTTGTTTTCCCTGCAAATTGTTTCTTCAAAGATGACCAGACCTCACAAACAGTGTCCATGCCTTCCACTTGTTCTCTTATTTTTGGTTCCATACTTCCCAACAGCCATACTAGTACTTTATCATTGATTTGTTTCCTGCCCGCACCGCCTTTCTCCAAACTTTCTTCACTCCCAACAAGTAAATAATCATACTCATTGGCGCTCAAAATCAATTTGGCATGGCGTGCCCAACTGATGTAGTCACCAGGTCCTGATAGTCTGACTGGATTTGGCTCAAGTGTATGCTTAACTGGCTCAGCAGCCTGCTGGTGCTTAAGCAGTTTGCTAAATATTTCATACATCTTATCAACACTAGAATCCCCTGTTTTTCTGTACTTGGATCTCCCATGGTTCAGTGAGCAAGAATATATTCCAACACTAGTACTTGGTTCTTCTTATCAAATACGTGCAGCACAAAGAGGAACCAACTAGTACAGCTCAACAATGTGCCAAAGAGTACGGCAATTACTTCAGATTGCAACACTAGCAAATAGTATTATTTAATCCCGCCAGCTGACCACCAAAGCAGCTCCAGGCAACACTGATTCTTCTTCTAAAGCAATAAAAAACACAGAAGCTCAAGGAGTCCGAGAGTCAAGTTGGGGACGAACTAGACCTGCTCACGGCGCCGGATGGCAGGAGAGAAAAAATTAGCTTGTAGCGGGGGAGGGAGTCTAGACGCCCAGGCTCTATTCAATTCAACTGGTAGCTGCAGGAGCCTCCCCGGTCGTACTTGATTCAGGCAGAATCGAGGTCGCTTCCCGACACCTACAACAAAGCCAGCAGCAGAAGCACCTCCAACAATAGGAGCGACACAGCACCGCACCGCACCGACGACCAAAATCAATCGAAATCACAGGAGAACCACACAGGATTCGTCCCGCCCTGATACCATCTTGTCACTCATGGATTTGTGAACTAGGGTTCATGAAGGAAAGACATTGGGGAAAAATCTGGGGTCTTCTACCGATCCCCTTCTCACCTCCCTTCATTTAGATTTTTGTTCTTTTACAATATAGTCCTCATGTCCTTACATAATTACAACTCACATCAACAACTTTCTTTCCGACATCCACCTCGTCCACATGCATTGTCGCTGCCTCATTCGTAATATCCTCCGTTCGCACCCCTTTGTCGACGACTGCCGAAGTTGCCTGCAACCGCTTGTCATTGACCGACGTACTCACCATGACTTGTGTACTAGTCATGTTTGCAGTAGGGCATGCCACATCAATGGTTGTTTCTACTGCTTCGGCGAAGTCCTTTCTCCTTTTCTTTTTCATTTGACCTAGGCATAGTTTTGATTTTGTGATGAATATCTTTGTGTGTGTGTATTGGTTGTGTGCATCCTAGTCGTGTAGTGGCTGGCTGTGTGCTCGTTGTATTTTGTACATCTGCTTGTGTTTCAATATGAATTAATGAAAAATACTCTATCAAAACAAATACCGCTGTTCAAGGTTGAAAAAGCAAGGATCTCAACCGAGCTTGCTCGTTCATTAAAAAAAAACTTAACTTGCAAGTCGGCAATACCGCAGCAAAAGCTTTGGGTCGCGATGCCATATTGCATTCGGCCGGCGACGGCCAAGGCCAACCCGTTTGCCCCGGCCCCAGCAAAGGAACGAATGAAGCCGCACGGAAGAGCGATGATTGCAGCGCCGCAGTGCAACCCAACATAAATAAACCCCGGCACCGGCAGTGGTACTTGCTGCTTTCACTTGATTTAACTCCGGTACGGTACCATTCACATTCAGTGACAAGCATCAACTCTCGCAATGAGTAGACAGCGCAGCAGCGAATCGCGAGCGGCAGTAGCCAAATCACATCTTATCAGAGCCTTATCTCACCCAGTAGTAGCACCCACAGCCAACTCCCTACCACATGACGCCCACATGCCTGCGCCTGCGTGCGACGCATCTATCATCCGGCCACGCAGCCCCCTGCGCTCGGCGCCGTGCACGCGCACCCAATCCGCGTGGTACCGCCCCGACGCCCTACCACTCCTACTCCGCCGCGCCAGCCACGCGCAACCACCGCCACCACCAATCCACCATCATCTCCTCTCCCCAGCCATCGCCGTCGCGGCCCGGCACGTACGTACACCGGGTACATGTCGACGCATAGGTAGGTACGGTGGCCCGCCTCCCACCGACCCGAACACTTCGCCGTGTGCGGCTTAGTTTACCAAGTTAAACACGGTGCACGCCGCATGCCCACAAGACGCTACACGACGGACGGCGCGCACAACTGTAGTAGCCGCGAATGGACGGGCGAGGACCACGGCGCACGGCCATGGCATCGGCGTCGGCGTCGGCAACGGGCCAGAGGCAGTAAAAACGCGTCGACAGCACACATCGTAAGATTTGTGACCAAGGGACATGTGCATTAGCAAATTGATGATACGGCACGGCGAGCGCAGGCGTCCGTGCACCGGACCGGACCGGCCGGCCGGGCGGAGCGCGCGCAGGGGCATTTGATCTACGCTACGGCCTACGGACGTATGTACGTGCCGACAAGATCTACTATTAGGGGGCCGAGGAGTTGGAGGACGACGAGAGGCGGTCCCGGCTTGGAGGCTTGGAGGCTTGCTCCAAGTTTTCTCGGTGGGTTCGTTGGCGCTTCACGTGCTGCCGCTTTCCCTGCGCTGCGAGAGAGACGCCGCGGCTAACCGGTGGCACAAATCAAGGCCTCACCCACCTGATAAGCACTCGGCCAGCGGAGGCCATGACACATGCCTTTCATGTTTCGTCTCATTACGATAATTCAGGGACAAGGAGACTCGAGATGATCAGTAAGTTTTTCCGGCGTCAAGCCGAAGATTTTTTTGGTAAGCTTATAAGCTAGCACAGCATGATCATTTGTTGACGTGGGATAGTGAATAGGCGATTCATTTGGAGGTTACGAAATAAATCAGCACATTGTATACTCGTGTGTTACGCACGCTACGCTTTTGGTGTCGGCGAAAGAGATGGGGGTGGATGGTGACCTGTTTTTGAGGCCATGCCGCTGAGCAATCCAGCTACAACCAAAAGTTCCGAATCTTAATTTCTTACTATTTCGGAATCTAGCCACTGTTAAGGACAGCATGACTGTGCAGAGACCGAAATCAGGCAACGCTGGGCATAATTCCCTTGGAGAGAATCACTCCCTGCCGGCCCTTGTCAGTGCGTACAAGTAGAACAACCGCACATGCACCGGGAACATCACAAGCTGCACAGCAAATGCTCCTACCAATCATATCTGATATAACACTCAGATCAGACCAAGGTTACATCGACATGGCGATTTTGATGCATGAACATGCAGCATACGCCTTCCCCACTCTTTCAACACTTTGTACATGGTCGGTTTCAAGCAAAGCACAAGAAAATAAATTACGTACAATGAGTATATTCTTGAGACGATGGCCTCCACTGCGCTTACACTCTGACTATACACATTCCATGATATCTGAACCGTGTGCCTCCATTCTCCAATTTTCCGTCCAGCAGAGGTTCAGTCGTTCCTTGAGCCTTGCCTCGTGCTACGTCTGAATGGTGAACCTACCCACATTTAGTTAATTATTTTGCTATCTCCTCAAGCCTTCTGAGTATCTCCTTGGTGTTGGGCCGGAGCGACGGCGAAGGGCTGCAGCACGCCGTGGCCAGCTCGAAGAACGCGTTCAGCTTCTTCTCGTTCCCCGACTTCCTGCTCTGCCTGACGAGGTCGGAGCTGAAGGCGTCGGAGATCTTCCTCTCGAGCACCAGGTTCTTGAACGACGCCGGCAGGAAGATGTCGCGGGAGCTGGGCGCGCGGTCGTCGTCGCCGGCGGGCTCCTTCTGCGCGAGCATCTCCAGCAGCACCACGCCCAGGCTGTACACGTCGCTCTCCCTGGTGGCGTCCCTCATCTTGACCAGCTCCGGCGCCTTGTACCCCTGCGCCGCCGACGCCTCCAGCATCTCGTGGGCGCCGCCGGTGTTGAGCAGGAGGTAGAGGCCGTAGTCCGAGATCCTGCACTCGTAGCTGGCGTCGAGGAGGATGTTGCTCGTCTTGAGGTTGCCGTGGATGATCGGCTTCTCCATCCCCGTGTGCAGGTGGTCGAGCCCCTTGGCGATGCACACGGAGAGCTTGCAGATCAGGCTCCATCTCTGCGAGTCGGCGATCCCCTCTGTGAAAATGGCAGCACACAGGCAGACTATCATCAGCTACCATCACAACAAATGCCAATATTATGAATGCATGGTTTTGGCTTGAAAAGACTGCACATGTGTGCATGTGCCTTCAATTAAGGCACAACAATGACTATGTTCACTACTGTTTGACAGACGACTATACAGCACTAACCACTGTTTTAACTGAGCAACACACTGGACTGATTGTGTGCCCCAATGATCACGATTGTGAAGGGTGATCTAATGACCTTATGTAACATTAATGGCCAGGACCATTGCTTCAGGACAGTGTCATGTGAGGTCTCAGGCTAACAACCAAAGCAGAGAAATGTTTCCTGCCTGGCCGCAGTAGGCAATAATAATAAGAACCAGCGAACATGAACTGGAAATAAGAAATGGACTCTGTACCATAACCAAACTGTGTAACACATTCCACATTGCCTCAAAAGTTGATACTGATTATCGAAAAAGAAAGTTGAAACTGATGGCCCAAATGATTTTTGTTTAGTGAAAGCTGCTGATCTGCCTTTTTGGAGTCTTCGAACTCGCTTCGCAACCACGCCATGCTTTTCCCTTGTGACGAAATGTAGGAGTAATTGTATAATGTTTCATGTGTGATCTCGTCGCAACAAATAGAATAAGAAAAGGTTTCATTTGCGGTGTGGGCTCATGTGCACTTTTGACGTAGCAAAATTGTGCATTTGTACGAATCAGGATGAACATGTCGACCAAAGCAAGAGTGAGTGATGCGCCCTGACCTTGCAAGAAGCGGTGGAGCGAGCCGGCGGCGTAGAAGGGGTGCACGAGCAGCTTCTCGCCCCTGGGCCCGACGTACACGGCGCGGAGCGGCACGAGGTTCGGGTGGCTGACGGCGCCGATCCGGCGCGCGGCGGCGGCGGCCTCGTCGGCGCCCACGGCGCACGCGGGCCGCACGAACCGGAGCAGCACGGCCGTCTCCCCGGAGCGCATGGCGGCGCGGTAGAGCGTGCTGTGCGACGACTTGGCCACCACCTCCCCAGGCGCCTCGAGGATGGCGGCCACCGACAGGCCCTCGCCGCCGGGGAACCTGACGAGCGCGTCGGCGCCGCCGTGGCCGTGCGGGCCGCCGACCCCGAGGCGGTCGGCGATGGGGCCGAGGTAGGGCTGCAGCGCGCCGAGGCGGTCGGCGATGGGCGCGAAGTAGGGCAGCAGGGTGGTCCGGGTGGCATTGCCGCGGCGGCGGAGGCAGTCCGGGACGCGGAACGGGAGGCGGTCGAGGCGCAGGCCGCGGAGGCGCGGGCGGAGGTAGCGGTAGAGCAGGTAGGCGAGGAGCACGGCGAGGATGGGGAGCAGGATGGAGTTGGTCCGCCCCTTGTGCACCGGCTCGTCCGCCGCCGCCGGCTCCATGTACGTACGCCGGTTCTTGGAATGAACGGAAAGGCGAAAGCAGTGGTGGTGGGGCTCGTGGCTCGGCTCGCCCAGGATTCGAGGCAAAGCCCCTCGCTTTGGCGTGCGCTTTGCTCGGTTGGCTTGGGCTCGGGGTGGTGGAGCCGTGGAGGAAACTGCCGGGAGGAGGAGGAGGAGGATGGCTTGAGATTCCTATCGTGTGGAGGTTTTTATCATCATCGACCAACCAGTGAGCAGTGTGGGAGAGTGAGGGCTACTGAGGAGGAGGAGGAGGCCGGCCGGGTGGCTTCCAGTCCAGTGAGTCCAGCCTCCGTCGCCTTTGGCCTTTTTTCTGTTGGAGATTAGCGTTAAAGTGGGGGAGTTGGTAGGTAGAGGACCGACCCTAGCGGTGTGGTGTGCTGTGCATGGCCATTTCCTCCGTTGAGAATCGGTGAGCACAGTGGCAGCGGCAGTTGGGAGGGGTAGGAGTAGGAGTAGGAGGGTCGCCGGGACCCTGGCTGGCCTGGACTGGAAGGTGCCCTATTACTATCGCGGCAGGGTTGGCCTGGAACAGTGGAGCTGTGGTGCAAACGGGACATACAGATGGACGGCGGGCGGCTAGGGACCGGCCCCGACGCTCGTTTGTTCGCTGCTCTCTGGCCGGCTTGCGCCGGATGAAAGTGCTGCTGTCTGTGCTTGGCACAGTTGTATTCGGTGGCGGGTAATTTTCACTTCTGCCTTTTGAGCTTTGGTGTTGGCAGTTTTGTGCTGTATATATGGCTGCTTTGGATTCGGGGCTGAGCCCGAGCTCATCTCCTACAGCGTGAACAGTAAATTGAAAAAAAAAACATATGATTTTGTTTGCGGTAGATATGATGTAATTTTCTGGGAGCTTGCAAAAAAATGGTGCCAAGGTGACTTCAGGGGAGCTCCGTAAAGACAAAACACAAAATGGGAGCTCCAAAATGGCCGAAGCTGCTCGAGTTTTTCTAGCTCCGTTTTTGCCTCTCTTTTTTTATGGAGTTCCTCCCCAAGTCATCTTGGCATGAAAATTTGCAAGCTCATAGGAAAGAGCAGTTTTAGCATGCTCCCTCTTACCCTCTCTTTTTACATGAGAGGTAAGAGTATGTAATAGATCTGAGCCGTTGATCTCATCAATTAGTGGTCTGATTAAGTTTTACTTTCTTACTTCTCATGTAAAAGGAAGAGGTAAGAGGGAGCATGTTAAAATTTGCCCATAGAAAATTTCATCATCTTTAGTGTAAAAATAGCAAAAAAGTTCAAAAATTTACTTTTTGTTTCGAATTCACTGTTCTTAGGTGAGCTCGGGCGTAGAAACCCACTCTCCTTTGGAGTCTACCTACTGCTGCTTGAACGATGCTATATCGGGCATCAATTTTCCTTTTCTCTCGCATGTAGACCATCCGAGTAAATACATCCGGACCGCGCTTTGTCATTTAACGTGATCCTGCATCGAGTGTCATTCTAACCCTAAATTACTACATTGACCATTAGTATAGCCGACAATATGCCGACTCGGCTAGAGTTGCTCTCAAACTTGGCGAGGCCACCAAAAATTCTCGTCGAGCGAGGACAAGCGGCGTCCAATTCAGAAACCTCCTGTCATCATATACAGATCTTAGCAAGAACCATGATTCGTACGTCTACCAGCAAGAGATGGTCCAGAATTCCAGATAAATCTCCATCACGATTAATTTGGTTGTATGCGGGATGCGTCCCACAAATTTGGTGCTATGCGCATGCAAATTTGCTGGAAATGATTTACTCTGTTCATGTTATCTACTATACTAGTACCAAGATGTTAAAGCATCTGCAATAGGACATGATAAATCCGGCCTTCTGTATGTCTGCGGACATGTTCACACAGACCCACGAACAGTATCGAACAACCTCTCAAATGTCGTGCCTGTCAATGACAATCATGCATGACTCTTAAATTAATGCAAATTCATGGACATCTATCTCACACGTAAATATTAAATGTTGATATCGAAAATACATAGTTTGAACATATAATTTATTTGAAGTGCACAATTCAAACATTAGCACTTTGTTTGCATTGTAGGTCCATGTATACTTCACAAGATCACTGAGTAGATGCGTGTGCACCTGTTGATCGCAAAGATTCTCATAAGATGATATGCATCTTGTTGTTTTGGAATGTGAAATTGTTCTCCAGGCGTCGCAAAATCATTGGTTTGGGCTACTCCACCACCCTCGTACTCGACAATCATATTGTGCAAAATAATACAACATGTCATTACTTGCCATAAAGTCTTCGATTCACACATCATTGCAGCTCCACAAACAATTCTCCAACTAGCTTGGGGCACTCTGAATTTCCTCTCCACATCCTTCCCAACTGCATCTTGCACTGTTGCAAAATGGCTTTGTTTTTTACCTCGGGGTTTGGATATGGTCTTCACAAACGCCGCTCACCGAGAATAGATATCATCAGCAAGATATGACCCCATGTTATAGTTGCGACTATTGATAGTAGAGTTACCGGATGTAGCGTGGTGGCGGCCGGGCCGGCAACAACGTCTGCGGAGGTGAGAACGGATGGGCGAGCCGTTGAGCGGTGTTGGCGGCGTGACGACTCAGTATGGCGGCAGAGCTAGGGGAGGGATGACGCGGAGAATAGAGGAGAGAGAGGAGAGGAATAAAACGAATCGGCTAGGACAGGGGGTGATTTGGTGCAATTTGGGGCAGGGTCCGCCTGTCTGGTCCGATGTGGCAGGCGCGCTCGGGTCTCCCCATATCCGCCTGAGATTTGGGTTGAATATGAGGGGTATCGGTCTGGCCGGGCTTTTAGGGTCGGTATGAGGAGCTTGTTTGAGTTTTTTCTTGACTGGTCAGTGACTGGGCCGTCCGCGGCATAAAAGGAAGGTTTCAGGCACCGCTGTAGATGCTTTTAGGGGAGGATTATTTGTTAGTTCATAATGTTGCGATCCTTTGATTCTCCCGCCGCCTTCCTCCTCTCCACAACATCGTTGCACGCTGGCCCCATTGCAGCCGGCTGCCACCGGCTGAAGCGCCGTCTCCAACCACCATACCCGCAGTTGGCATTGCGACCGTGCCACCCTGCCGGAGTCGCCGACGCACCAGGTATCCCTCTAACATATGGTTCTTCTTTGGCACCGGTGACCCATCATCACCACACATGCACCGGTCAACTCTCGAACTCCTTTTTTTTGAAAGATCTAGCAAATTGCTGGCATTCATATATTCAGCAGGAACTAGCGGGAAAATGCTTAACATGGAGGATGTGATCTAGAGATCAAAGGGAAAAGCAAAAAGAAAGAAAAGGCACAGAGGCACTACAGTTATATTACACGACTTAGCCAATCCCTGCTGGCGGCTCTGCAAACGGCTGCTCCAAGCATTTGGCTCCTGCTTGGCTCCATATATAGTTCAATGCTTCGTCTTGCAGCCGTCAAAACATCTATCCCTTGTGCAATTTTGTCTTTGAAGGTGCACTGGTGTGGCTCCAACCAGATTTCCCATAGCACCAGGGTGACGATCGTTGTGATCCCCTTTCGGTTCAATGTCGTTGTGCTACTGATGATCCTCTCAACAATGTCTGTTGAGTGGTTGAGGGAGGACCATATGGATGGGCTCATGGCCTGGCAGCCGTTCCATGTAGCCACCTTCTCCCAAACATCCCTAGACAGTTCACACTGCCAGAACAGGTGGATCGAGCTTTCTAGGTGTCTGAAGCATAGTTGACAGAAGTATTGGTTCTCCCATCTTTGTCTTTGCAGCCTGTCGTTGCACCATACTCATTTTAGATGCATCAATCATGAGAAGATCTTGAGACATCCAGGAGCCCAGAGACTCCAGAAAATCACCTTGAAAGGGGTCTTCGGGGATCCTTGGAACTAGGCTTGATACGTCGATGATGCGCTGTAGTGCTCATTTGCCGTGAGCTCCCATTTAATCTCATCCGGTTGGCCCAGTCTGATTCTCGCTCTGGCGATTCTGATCAACCTCTCCATGTTCAAGAACTCATGGAGCAGGGGGTTTGTATCTCCATGTGCCAGGTCCTTGATCCAAGTGTTGGCATGGACTGCCGCCTGTATAGTTCTATTTTTCCTTTTAGAGTGTTTGAACAGGCGCAGGAAGGAGAGCTTCAAGGGTTCAGCGTCCGCCCAGCCACATCCCAGAAGGTGGCCCTGCTTCCGTCCCCTATGGTGATCGTCGTCATTGTGTTGTATGTGGCCTTGTCTCTGTCATCACATGGCACCTCCATCCCCACCCATGGTCGATCGGGATTCTTCCAAGAGTGCCACAACCATCGCAACCTAAGTGCCCTACTGAATTTCTCGAGGTTGAGGATGACAAGCCCACCGTATTCTATCGGCGAGCAAACTTTGGACCAATTAACCTTGCACTCCCTCCTGGCAGTTCCTCGTCTTGTGCCCATAGGAATCTTCGACGGGATTTATCCACTTCCTTGAGAAATATTTTTTTCACCTGATGTGCCGTAACTGCAAATGTTGGCAATGAGCTAAGGAAAACTCTGACTAGGACCCTTCGGGCCACGATGGACATTAGTTTTCCTTTCCACCTAGCAAGTCGAGCCCGAATCCTGTCAAGGATAAACTGTAGGTGGACTAATCTGATTCCTTGATGGTGACCGGCAGTCCCAAGTATGTGAGGGGGAAGCTTGTTTGTTGCCCGCCGAAGCTCTATAGGACCTACTCCATATTAATTTCAAAGCACCGGATTGGCGTGGCCATTGACTTCTAGAGGTTTATTTTCAGTCTTGTGGCTTCCCCGGAATAGTGTACAATTTGCATCAGTGTTTCAATCTCTTCTTTGATCGGGTTTGCAAAGATGACCGCATCGTCCGCATATAGGCTCACCATGAAGGAAATATGCCCTAGAGGCAATAATAAAGTTGTTATTGATATTTCCTTATATCATGATAAATGTTTATTATTCATGCTAGAATTGCATTAACCGGAAACTTGATACATGTGTGGATACATAGACAAAACACCGTGTCCCTAGTATGCCTCTACTAGACTAGCTCGTTAATCAAAGATGGTTAAGTTTCCTAACCATAGACATGTGTTGTCATTTGATGAACGAGATCACATCATTAGGAGAATGAATGTGATGGACAAGACCCATCCGTTAGCTTAGCATAATGATCGTTAAAGTTTCATTGCTATTGCTTTCTTCATGTCTTATACATATTCCTTTGACTATGAGATTATGCAACTTCCGTATACCCGAGGAATACCTTGTGTGCTATCAAACGTCACAACGTAACTGGGTGATTATAAAGATGATCTACAGGTATCTCCGAAGGTGTCTATTGGGTTGGCATAGATTGATATTAGGATTTGTCACTCCGAGTGTCGGAGAGGTATCTCTGGGCCTTCTCGGTAATGCACATCATGATAAGCCTTGCAAGTAATGTGACTAATGAGTTAGTTGTGGGATGATGCATTACGGAACAAGTAAAGAGATTTGCCGGTAACGAGATTAACCTGAAGATACCGACGATCGAATCTCGAGAAAGTAACATATCGATGACAAAGGGAATGACGTATGTTGTCATTACAGTTTGACCGATAAAGATCTTCATATAATATGTAGGAACCGATATGAGCATCCAGGTTCCCTTGTTGGTTATTGACCGGAGAGGTGTCTCGGTCATGTCTAGATAGTTCTCGAACCCATAGGGTCTGCACGCTTAACGTTCGATGACGATTTGTATTATGAGTTATGTGATTTGGTGACCGAATGTTGTTTGGAGTCCCGGATGGGATCATGGACATGATGAGGAGTCTCAAAATAGTCTAGAGGTAAAGATTGATATATTGGACGATAGTATTCGAACACCGGAAGTGTTTCAGAATGTATCGAGTACGTATCGGAGTACCAGGGGGTTACCGGAACCCCCCGCGGGAAGATATGGGCCATATGGGACATAGGAGGGAGGCAGGCCAGCCCACAAGGGGTGGAGCCCCCCCCCCCAAGGGAGGAGTCCGAATTGGACTAGGGGAGGGGGCGGAGCCCCCCTTTCCTTCTCCTTCCCCCTTTCTCCCTCTGATAAAAGGAAGGGGGGCCGAATCCTACTAGGAGCCCAAGTGGGTCTCCTCCCACTTGGGGTGCACCTAGGGCCGGCCTCCTCACCTCTCCCTCCTTTATATACGGGGGTGGGGGCACCTCTAACACACATCAATTGTTCCAAGCCGTGTGCGACGCCCCCTCCACCGTTTACTCCTCCGGTCATATTGTCGTAGTTCTTAGGCAAAGCCCTGCACGGATCACTTCACCATCACCGTCACCACGCCGTCATGCTGACGAAACTCTCCCTCGACACTTTGCTGGATCAATAGTTCGAGGGACGTCATCGAGCTGAACATGTGCAGAACTCGGAGGTGTCGTACGTTTGGTGCTTGATCGGTTGAATCGAGAAGACGTTCGACTACATCAACCGCGTTAAACTAACACTCCCACTTTCGGTCTACAAGGGTACGTGGACACACTCTCCCCCTCTCATTGCTATGCATCTCCTAGATATATCCCGTCTGATCGTAGGAATTTTTTAAATTGCATGCTACGTTCCCCAACAGTGGCATCCGGGCCAGGTCTATGCGTAGATGATATGCACGAGTAGAACACAAATAGTTGTGGGCGATGATAGTCATACTGCTTACCACCAACGTCTTATTTTGATTCGGCGGTATTGTTGGATGAAGCGGCCCAGACCAACCTTACATGACCACATTCATGAGACCGGTTCCACCGATAGACATGCAACTTGTTTTGCATAAAGGTGGCTGGCGGGTGTCTGTTTCTCCAACTTTAGTTGAATCGAATTTGACTACGACCGGTCCTTGTTGAAGGTTAAAACAGCATACTTGACGAAACATCGTTGTGGTTTTGATGCGTAGGTAAGAACGGTTCTTACTAGAAGCCCGTAGCAGCCACATAAAACTTGCAACAACAAAGTAGAGGACGTCTAACTTGTTTTTGTAGGGCATGTTGTGATGTGATATGGTCAAGACATGATGTGATATACGTTATTGTATGAGATGATCATGTCTTGTAAAAGTTATCGGCAACTGGTAGGAGCCTTATGGTTGTCTCTTTATTGTATGAAATGCAATGGCCATGTAATTGCTTTACTTTATCACTATGCGTTAGCGATAGTTGTAGAAGCAATAGTTGGCGAGACGACAACGACGCTACGATGGAGATCAAGGTGTCAAGCCAGTGACGATGGAGATCATGAAGGTGCTTTGGAGATGGAGATCAAAGGCACAAGATGATG